TAAAATCTGGTAGAGAATCATGGAAGTTATAGTCAAAGAAGTCTGGAAGACCCTGTGGTGGAAAGGTTTATTGAGCTATGCTACTTCCATGGGATGATTTGCAGTAAAGCTACAAAGGTTCCCGACTGAACTGTTTACCCTCAGAGTAATTAGGATGAGTCCATGATCAGAGGTCTCATTAACCGTTTTCACTACCATCGCTCCCACTCAAGCCGTACACTTGACAGCTGTTGATGGATTTCAAAGTTCCGTTAACAAAGTAGGTCCTACAGACCTGAAATCTTACCACAGCTTTTCTCTGGCACTGCCAACCTATTAGAGAACGGCAACAGAGAAGACAGGGTGGCCAGCCTGCATTAACACCAAAGGGCCATTTAGGAAGATCCATCTTGCTTCTTTTTCAGGCGTGAATAAACCCCCGGAGTTCCTGATTTTATTCGTGACGTCCGCTATGTGAAATTGGAGTGAAAAGGGAGGAAATGGGGGAGAGGAGGGCCCAGAGGGGGGAAAGGAGCAGCAGCATCAGGAGATGGGAAGGGGGATAGATTTGCAAAAGGAATGGAGAGCTGAACTGAATCCAAGAACTTGTGGAGTTGGTTAAGCCGCATATGGGAGTCATTAGTTAGCAAGGGCTGGTGATTGGGGGAAGGCAGATCTTATCCTGGCGCCAAAGGATCCCCCCTCCCAGATTCATTGGAAATTTGTTTCTCATGTGAGAGCAGATTTTGGGATGGGGATGGGCTAGGAAACAACATTTCAGAGAACTGACTTGAGTAGGGGAAATCAGAAAGAACAGTGCTGCGGCGTGGGAATCGAGAGTTTTGGGAGCAATGGTTAGCTTGGAGCCTCAATATTCTTTCTTTCTATCCCCACATAATGCACTCACACTCCCGTCATCACCTTGTAACCCTGGCTTTGAAGAGTGATCTTTTGACAGGAACAAAAAAAAAATCCCCCAAAGTCCTTCCTATGGATGGGACTGTTCAATTTCCACTGTCCCTGCTGTCTGTGGTTAATCCCTTGGCTGTAGAAATATAGAAGCAGAAAAAGAAGAAGAGGAAGAGATGAACAGGAGGTGCAAAGGTTTCCCCAGCAAGTGTGAGTGAGAGGCCAAGTGGCCATATGGCACCTAGGAAAGAGGAGAACCTGTTCTTGTTACTAGCAACGTAAAGCAGCAAATGGAATAGGCCATATGGCCCCAAATGGCAGGATAAGCTTAATTAGCCTCATATGCATTTAAGGATTATTTCCTACATTTTGGGGACTCTGTTGTGTAATAATCTAAGTTGCATGATGGTTTTTTTCATTTACAACTCCCAGTGTAAATGAAAATGTAAATGGTGCTGTGCATCTTGAGTTCCCTTCCCTTCTACCCATTCCTTTTTTATTTGCTTCTATGTGGGTTTTAAATAAAATAGGTAAGGGTTCTTACCTATTCAAATTGTAAATCCAGGAACCGTTGCTAAGACAGTTCAGTTTCTAGTGAAATACATAGATGGAAGAGGGATGATTCTTCTGAAAGGAATTCCTGTCTGTCAACTATATATTCGTATCCCCTGTTCTGTGTGGACAGAAGTGCTCCAACCACCGGTTCAAATTGGTCTCAGAATGTGTGTGTGTGTGTGTGTGTGCAAGCGTATGCATAGAGAAAGCGGTTTTAGATTCGATGGATGCATGGAAGATGGGAAGTTATGGCAGTGCTTGATCTAGTCAAGGAGGAAACGTGGGTGCCATGACTGTGCAGGACTTTTAAAAAGCTCAAGTTCACAAACACAACAAGGTGAACTATATGCCTTCCACCTGAAGATCCTGCAGAGCTGGCTCTGTTTCGACTGCTTCCTGCACCAAATCACCTTTGCAAGCAGCCCAGTGGATCACTTGTGGAGACAATTCAGTTTCCCCCATTTCGTACTTTCGCTATTGGGGAAAAGAACAGGGATATGAAAGGAGACCCCAAATGGGCATCCCCAAGGCAACGATGATGTCGCTGATTGATCCTTTCACCATGGAAGAGCTTCAGTGCTTCCAAAATGGAAGTATAGTATACGGGGCAGGGAATGGAGTATCCAAAGTGGTCTGTTTCTAATGTTTACAGAAATGGGCTTGCTTTGGCTGCTATGTGCTTTCTAGTGGGAAGATGCAGGATAATGGCTTTAGCATACATACTATATGGATGATCTGTTGGAACATGTAAAAATGGCTTTCGGCTGCCCCCCCCCCCTTGTGTACCAGAGTACTTCAAAGTGTTCTAGGAAGTCTTACAACATTGCAGGATGAGTCTTGGATTTTAGTCCTCCTGCTCCACCTGAAATCATCCAACCTGAAAAAAGAAGGCTACAGTAAGACCCAGTTCTTGGAAGCAATCCTCGTCCTTACCCATGTCTTACATTACTTCGTGACATTATATTAATATGCCATCTGCTTTCTTACCTGTATATTATAATCCAAAATCACCTGGAAATCATGGCACCTCGTACAGGAAACTTTTTAAGGCCTTCTCAGACCTTTTGTGCATTGAAGCTACATTACCCCATCCTACTGAGAGTTGATTGAACTGAGGAATGGGATATAGTTTTTTTAGGTAGTCACAATGAAGAAGGGACCTCTTTCATTAGAGCTCTAAGCAGGAATCTAGTAGGTCATCTCTAGGGCTTTGGTAGATGCCGATGCAGTAGTCCTTGACTTATGACCACAATTGAGTCCTACATGCTTGTTGTTAAGTGAGACGTTTAAGTGAACTTTGCTCCATTTTACGACTTTTCTTCTCACAGTTGTTAAGTGAATCGGCGCAGTTGATAAATTGGTAACATGGTTGTTAAGTGAGTGGCTTTCCCATTGCTTTTGCTTGTCAAAAGAATTCAAAAGGTGATCGATCGCATGACCTCGGGACACGGCAACGGTCACAAGTCAGTTGCCAAGCATTGAATGTTGATCACATGGTTATGGGATGTGACAGAGATCATAAGTGCAAAAAATGGTCCTAAGTCACTTTTTTTTCAGTGCCATTGTAACTTTGAAAGGTCACTAAATGAACTGTTATAAGTCGAGGACTAGCTGCACTCTTGGATTTAGATAGGGAAGGTGGAATTGTCCAATTGTCCTGCTATTTCGAAAAACAAAGAGGATTTCCTTAGGAGGCTTAGAGAAATGATGCAGTCCAAGCCAGCTCCTCCCTAACTGACCAGTCAGCTAGTCCAGGACAGTGTCCCTTTGTGCCTCCTGACCCCCCAAATGTCCCTCCAGTCAGGGCACTTCCTACTATGAACTAATAATCAGCTCCAATGGCTCCCTTGTTACTGGATGGGGTGTTTCTTGCCTGTTTTGCCTAGGGCCAACAATGCAAAGAGCAAAGGGGTTGACAAGTTTTGGGGCCTCTTATGAAGAAAAGGATAATTGTATGTTGTCAGGACATCCATTCAATGTGTCTTTGTGTGATAGAAAGCTATAGAACATGAACAAGTAAAAGAGGACGCTGTAGGGTCCTCTTCTCTACTCTCTGCATCCAGTTTGTGTTTCCAGAGATGAGAAGACAGACTGGAATGAACCAGATTATCCAGCGTTGGCTTCCCATGGGAGATGCAAGAGGAATGACTTCCTCTGCTCTACATTATGGCATTTCTCTCCCCCCTCCTGGTTTTAAATACATTAAGCTGTCTTTTCAGGAGGAGGACTGGTTTTCATTGGAAGCCTGCCATTTTTGTTTATCAGAATTCTGTTCTGCCTTTCCTCGAAGACTCTCAGATCTGTGTGTTTTAGTCTTACGATAACCTTGCGAGGTAACTGAGGGAGTTGAAAGGAAAATGACCTTCTTGGTCGCTCTAATTCTGGCTTTCCTTATCCCTATCAAATGCTCTCAATTACAGCATCACAGTGGCTTTTGGGGTGGCAATGATTAATTTTCCTTGCGGTTTGAAATGCTGGGTCTGATTAGAATTAGTCAAGTTATTATCTTTTATTTGTATTGGTTTTTCTGATGTTCCCCTTGGTTAAAGAGCCGCTGTTTGATACCTAAAACCTCTTCTGTTCACCTCTTAACCTTGTTTTTGATAAGATGGGCAGTCTGAATTTCTAAGGTCCTTGGCTATAAGAGTCTCTCCCAACAGCTATTTTTGTTATTAACATCTCACTAGAAAATGAGCAATCGATCTTGAACTAGACATAATGTTCATCATTTTAGGAAGAAAAACTCCTCGGTATCCTCTTGTTTTACTAAAATGATCCAACTGGTTTGGTGACTACTTGGGGCTAACATTTTGGATCGCTGAATTTACCAATCTACCAGTAAGGTTCCTTCAAGCTGCAATGTGAAATATCGTGACCCGACAAAAGCGCGAACGTCATAAGCGCGCCGACAAAACCGCGGCGCTAAAACCGCGAAGTCAAAAGCGCGCTGACAACAGCGCGCCAACAGAAGCACGATTGAAGTTAAGGTAAGGGTTAGGGTTAGGGTTAGGGTTAGGGTTATGTTACAGCGCGCTTCTGTCGGAGCGCTTTTGTCGGCGCGCTTTAGGGCTAATTCGTCGCTCATTTGTCGCACGGTTTTGTCACCGCGGTTTAGTCACCGCGGTTTAGTCAGGCGCGCTTTTGTTGTTCGCGCATTTGTGGTGGAACCGTGAAATATATTCACTTAGCACTAAGTCGTCCCCCCCCATTTCAATGGATCTTATGTCCTAGAAAATATAGTTGGGCTTATAACTTTGGTTATAATTATGTCCACGGGGGATATACTTCCAAATGAATCTAAGGCTTGACCCATTCTGTTCTTTAAGAAATGGCTTTTCTGAAAGCTGCCTGTTGCAATTTTCTTGAAGTGTACCAGCTGGGGTAGGATTGTTCACGCAGATCTTTAAAAAAAAAAGATCTCCGTGCTACTGATAAAGTAGACTTCACAAATGCTTATACTGTAATAAATGTCTAGCTTTAAAGTGCCCTGAGACTCTTTGTTGTAGGTTGCAAAAAGACTCAACTTGCTATTTCTCTGGAAATTTCTTTTTCCCCAGTATCAGAAGAAGACATGGAGCTGCTGGGACAGAATTACCATGCCAGGTTTAAATTCCAAAGGAGAAGTTGTTACCTTGAGAGAGATATGTGATCACATCCAGGTAAAGGCAGTTGTTCCAATTTCAGGAACAAATTCTGGCAAGTGCCCAGGGGCATATCTTGGGGTGTTCAGTCCTACCTCTGCTACTTCTTGTAGTAAGAATGTTCTCCTTTACCTTCCTTAGCCGGCAGGGTTGCCTTTTCTGTGCAAAGGAAGAGGTATCTGGGCATAGCTCCCTAAATGTGTACATTTGGCTTTCCAGTGTTACAGCCAACCTCATTTGTGGACAAACATAAAGATGATTTTCATCCAGTATTTCACATACAGAGACCTTATCCTTATGGGATGTCCCCATTCTATCCCAGTGCCATTTTCTTGATTAGCCAATGTTGTATTAAATATACTTCCTATTCCCTCATGTCTTGCAACCTGGTTGTCCCAACTCATTCATATTGCTTGTTTAATCCTTCTTTGTTGTTGCTCATTTTCATTCCCATAATTGGATGTCCTATATTGTACACAACTGTCCCTCATTGCAGTCTTCCAGCTCAGCCTTCTCAAACTTGGTTACTCTCCAGATCAGAGGTAGAATTCAACAGGTTCTGACCAGTTCTGGAGAATTGGTAGTGGAGATTTTGAGTAGTTTGAAGAACCGGTAAATACCACCTCTGGCTGGCCCCACCCCCATCTATTCTCTGCCTCCTGAGTCCCAGCTGATTGGGAGGAAATGGGGATTTTGCAGTATCCTTCCCCTGCCATACCCACCAGGCCACGCCCACAGAACTGGTAGTAAAAAATTTTGAATCCCACCACTGCTCCAGATCGATGTTCTGTGATTCCCCAAGAGATAGCTAGGTTAGTTTTTCATTACGTACAAAGTACAAGAACATGTGGCATTTTGAAGAGTAGTCCACTCTTAGGTAAGAGTTGGAGATTATGAAGTTTTCAAACCTATTTGCAGGCCACCAGGTTAAGGAAGACTATTCTAGATCTTTTCTGTGTTCTTGTGAGTTGTTCCAACTTTATTTTGGTCTTCAATTAAAGGATTTTAAAGTGATATTGATTGTGTTGACTGTTTTTCATAGACGGAGCATGACCTTGTGCCTCAGAGGTTGCTATTTTGGAAAGGATCCAAAATAGTATTCCTTATCTATGATAAGGAAGCTGCAATCAAAGAGCAACATCTTCCTTTAAGGTAGGAATTTAACGGAGATATATAATTAAAAATTGAATAATAAGTTGCAGTCTGAGTGCTACATGTTGTCCCCAACCCCCTTTTTTGTAGCCTCCGGTCCTCCCTTTCTCCATACTGCCTAATTTTAGATTCCCAACACATACAGTAATAACTTGGTTGAAATGTAATAGGCTTAATATCATTAGTTAAAGCCATTTCTCAGACTTCTCTTATTCGCTGTTTATCAACAACCAATCCACTGGAGATTTGGGCCCTTAAAAGCCTGTTATGTGGGCTCTGTGGCTTTAAACCTTTTTTTAATGGATCATGATCAAAGATGAGAGTCTTGAGATTGTCTCCCTGCATGAACAACATTTCAGAAGGCATCCTATGATCCATAGAGAGATATTATAGAACCCTCATCATCATAGCTTCAGTCTCTGGTCCCTAAAGCAGAGCCATTGGTGAGGCTCTAGCTAACCAAAGCAGGGAAAGCTCTTAGGAATTGAACTAACGGAAAAGACTTCCCATTTGGAGGCCCATTTATAAAAGCTGCACCCAGCTTTAAATTCTAGATTCCATTCCCTGTTTTCCAGTATGTATATTTGTGTGTGTGTGTGTGTGTGGTGTGTGTGTGTAAACACACGTGAGGCTGCCTTTCAGTCCTAAAAAAAGGCTTGTATGACAATTTAGTTATTAAAAATGCTATGTAAAAACGAAACAAGTTCAATCTCAGTTTAATATGAAACATGAAACAAGATTCCCAGACTGTCAGAGTCTCTTTCCATTAATCCTACTGGTGCCCCAGCAAAAAAGAGGCCTGGTTAGACAATATCTAGGAATCCTTCCATCTTCCTTCCTTCTGTGAATGCTGAGGTTGAATATTTGCTCTCTATGGGCCTCTGCTTGCCCGTTTTGTTGGCTGGAGAACAGCCCACTGTCCAGCTATGCTTAGGAAGCCAGTCGACAGAGGGATCCTCCGGAGCGAAGGATATGCAGGCCGTGGCTACCCCATTGCAGGGCCCCTACAAGTACAGCCTGGGTCCTGTATCTGCAGCAGCTGCAAAGCCTCTAATGTCCCGTCCCTTCATGCCGGGTAAACATCCTGCTGTCAGCACCTCCTCCTCAACTTCCTGGGGCAGACAAAACTCATCCCAGCCTCAAGCAGGCCCTTCTGGGCTTCTGCCAACCAGAGGCAACTGTAGTCCCTTGCTCTGTAATCTTCCCAGACTCCCTGGCAGCTCTCCTGCTTTCAGCACACTCACTCTCCTTCTGTCCACACCCCCCTGTGCAAAACCAGTCCGTAGATTCTCCCAGGCAGAAGCTCTCACTCTGCCTCTTTCCCAAGGAGAGAGCAAAACGGCCGCCTTGCTTTCTGCTCCAGAGGGCTGAGGTTACCAGGCAAGAGAGCCTGTGTCTGCTTTGAGAACTTCAGCTGGCCTCTGGCCAAGTTAGGGAATCCTGGGAGTTGTTCCCCGTCGATGCTCCAGTATAAAAGCTTGGGGAGGGAGGAGGGTATGGTGTTCCCACACCTCTGCTGATGGAAGCTAACATAATTTTAGTCCCTAATTCTAGAGCACCGTTCAGGCCATGCTTTGGGAACAAATGCAATCAGGAAAAGGAAGCGCGCTTCACATCTGGCTAATTGGGATGCATCACGTATTCCAACAATCACTTGCTAAGTAAAAATAGAGAGAGAAGCTGCCTTTATTTCCTGCTTGCGGCTTTCTCAAATGCATTCTGTTGACTACTGTAGGTGAAGCGGAATATTAGACCGAGATAATGATGAATTAAGAAGCTTTGATGCATCCCAGGCTTATGCCAAAAGCAACCCATGAAATCGAATCCCTATGTAGCACCAGGTATTTCCCACCGCAGCTCTGACCACACTTCCCATACTGATTTTACCATGCAGTTATGACAAACAGATGCTTTATGTTTTCACTACATCAAGTGACAAAGGCCGCCCGTGCTTTCTGACTGCTCAGGCCTTCCTCTGGCACCATATTCATTTTTGTTTTTGTTTTTTACTGTCACAGCCTGACGGAATTGATTCATGAAATCACTGGAGAGCCAGTCCCCAAGGAGTGCCGTCTCTTGGTATTGACAATTGATTGTGAAAATGAAGAATTCGATGAAAGTGTACCACCTGTTCATATCATGCTTCAACCAGCCAGCAATCAAAAATAAATAAATTGTGTTAACAGATTTCTAAAGGAAGCAATCTCGTTAAATCAGAGAAGCACTGAAAGTGACTGCTCTAAACACAAATTACTGCAAGAATGTGTTTTGATGAAGGCGATATGTCTTCTCCAGTGCATCAGCTTAAATTTGCCTGCAGGAGTTATCCTACCCCTGAGGGCCATGAACAGATAATTTGTTGGAAATGACTATGAAATGCAATCTACAGAACTTCTTTTGTCATATCCTGAATCTCACTTCTCATTATGTTCCTATATCACATCAGTTGGGTGTGTGGCAACATTACATTAGCCTGCTCTGCTTTGTCAGAAAGTTTATTGAACTGGCACCCTCCTATGATTTTTATAGGCACACTGCAAATGTGGGTAGGAATTAGGCTTGTGGTAGTTGGACAGCTGGAAGGCCCCAAGCTAGGAACATCTGCCTTAAAGGATGGGATATTTTCATTATCTCAGCACTGAAAGACCTAATCTCCAATGTTCAACTAGTATCTCCAATTAGATGAGACAGCTCGAGAGACACGCTAGGAGAGGTTTTGGAAAGCCAGTTGCAATTAGAGCAGACAACATTGGGCTAGATGTAGCAGTAATCAACCAGAGTACCTTCAAACTTTCAGCTGTCTCTGTATTTTGAATAAGTGCAGTGGGAAGACAGACATTGGAGTACTGTGATATATGTGAGAGGCACTAAGTTGTGCTGTAGTTGAGGGCAAAATCTGGAGTATAAATGCCTTGATTGTTGATTGGGCAGCATGTCGCAAACCATTATCTTTTTCCTTAGCGTAAAATGAGATTATCATGGAGATGAATGAGACTTTGTAAGTCATTCTTTATGCACGCAGAAAGGGAGATCAGAAGCTGCCTTCATACAAGGGCTTCATCTAGCTCACTACCATCTCCGTATTTAACCACTATGGATGGAGTTCTTTTAAGCCTCATGTGCCGAAACCAAGGACTGAATGGGCATCTTGCATTTGAAATACGTGCTCTCCCAATGTAGCCTACTCTTGGTAACACATTGTTACCAATGGAATTGATAGTGCCCATGGCTCTTCAGGATAAACCACAACCTCTCTGAGTGTTGGCCACCCAGACCCTTCATGAAGCAGAGCTCTTGACTCCCACTATTGTAGACAGATCCAGAAGAAACTTACGTATTTGTAAGCAAATTGCTTTGCCATATTGTCCACCTATTAGTTTTAGTTGTTCTGTCCACTCAGGTCCATCTTTGTTGTGGCAGCTCTATAGATACAGATGCAGATACAGGTAGTGAAGTCTGCCCATTATAATCATAAGTCATGATGGTCGTAAAGCAGGTTATCATGTGACCAACCTAACCAACCAAAGATACAAGCTATTTGCAGCGATTCAATGCAGCTATTATTCACTATGGAGTATTTTGGCCAAAAACCAGAAGTAAACGTTGGTTTTCAGCAAAAATATAAAATGTGACCACATGACTGCAGGATGCTGCAAATGGTCATCAATGAAGGTCAGTTGCCGAGGTCTCAAAATTCAATCACATGACTATAGGAGGGGGCCACCATTGTAACTTTGGAACTGAATTACAAGTACCTTTAGTCTTGTAATGTTGAATGGTCCCTAAGTGAGCAGTTATAAATTGAGAACTAGCTTATTTGTAAATTGCTACCTTGTAAATTCTATCGTCTTCTTTTTGCCCCAGCTACTGAAATATCCAGCTTTTTGAACTTGGTTTCTCACAACATTTGATTTCCCTTCTGATAAGAAAGATAAGAGTATGGGTGCCTATAGTGTTAAACCTTGTTAAGAACAACTTGGCTGACAATTCCGTGTTTGTGGTTTGTTTTTTAAGAAAAGAGTGTGAGAACTTCACTCCTGTGAAACTTCTAAAGCAACACTAGGAATAACATCTGATGAAGATAACTGAGTGGCTTTCCTTCCTTTCGAATTTAAATCAAATGCTTTAGATTAGGTTCATTCTGCACTTTATGGCAAATTGCCCTGTGACAAATTGCATATTCTGTTTACAGTAAACTGCTAGCAACACATTAAAGTAATGAGACAGAGTTGATGATGAAATTATGCCTCGCTCATTCCGCAAAAGCCCTACTCTGAATAAAACTGCCTTTGAATCCCAGGCTGGGCAGAGAATTCCTCTGCTCTTCCAGCCTTTTTTCCTGTTCCCTTCACACTGTCTAAGCCAGTTTCATTATATTCACAGGATTGAAGACACTGGAAGTATTCACACAACATGCTAATACAGTTTTCTAATTACAAACAGGTTACATTTCAAGACACTTTGTAAATCCATCCAGATATTTTTTTAAAAACCCACACAGTACATTTTCTACCAGGTATAACTGGCACTTACATATAATTCCAGACATTGTAATTCATAGTTACTACAGAAAATAAAACATAAACACAAACTAACCACCATAAGATCAGCGAACAAACAGGATGAGATAGCATCCAAAATGGTGTACCTCAGCCTCCCTATGTGCAACAGTGCTGTGAAGCACACGTATGTGACACACTGTAAACAAACACTTTGCCTTCTCTCACCTGGGATTTTCTAGTTAGAGATGTGAATAGGTTTGTTTTAGTGGTGGGATACAAAAATTGTACTTCTGGTTCTGTGGCCGTGGCTTAGTGGGCATGGCAGAGGAAGGACACTGCAAAATCTCCATTCCCTCCTGATCAGCTGGAACACGGGAGGCAGAGAATAGATGGGGGTGGGGCCAGTCAGAGGTGGTATTTACCGATTCTCTGAACTACTCAAAATTTCCACTACTGGTTCTCCAAAACTGGTCAGAACCTGCTGAATACCCACCTCTGGTTTGTTTGTATCGAAGTTTGTAACTTGAAAACTTCAGAAATACAGGTAGCCCTTGACTTATGAATACAATTGAGCCCAAATTTTCTGTTGCTAAATCAGACGATTGTTACATACTTGACTTTTGCCCCATTTTACGACTTTTCTTGTTATAGTTGTTAAGTGAATCACTGCAGTTGTTAAGTTGGTAGTTAGGTCACTGCAACTGTCATAAATATGAGTCAGTTGCTAACTGGCTGAATTTTGATCACATGACTGGGGATGCTGCAACAGTCGTAAGAGTGAAAAACAGATCAGTTTTTGTAACTTTGATCAGTCACTAAATGAACTGTTCTTAAATCGAAGATTACCTGTACTGTCTTTATTGGTTTTAACCTTGTTTGTTTTGCTTCTTTATTTACACCAAGTGTTTTTTTGTAAACCTAACATTCCTGGTAGGTGACACGGTGGCTCAGTGGCTAAGACCCTGAGCTTGTCAATCAGAAAGGTCGGCGGTTCGAATCCCCAGCACCACATAACAGTGAGCTCCTGTTACTTGTCCCAGCTTTTGCCAACCTAGCAGTTCGAAAGCATGTAAAAATACAAGTAGAAAAATAGGAACCACCTTTAGTGGGAAAGTAACAGCATTCTGTGCATCTTTGGCAATGACTCTGGCTTTAAAAGGGAGATGAGCACCACCCCCTAGAGTTGGGAACTACTAGCACATGTGAGAAAAGGAACCTTTACCTTTATCTAACACTCCTGGCTAGTTTCAGAGTGACTGTACCATGTGAACCCAGAAAGTGAAATAGATAACCAAGTCAAGAATAATGCACAAAAAGTATTTTCCTAACAAATATGGCTGTACTATCTAGGAGTTATGAAAGCTATCTGCCAATGTAGCTGAAGAGTAGAAGGCTTCAGACTAGGCAATGTAATTAACCATTTAAAACCTTACCTGGGGATTTATCTTGTGAATCAATTTCCTTTCTATCCCATGATAGGAATAACACCATGCACCAAACCCAGTGGTCTTGTAGCTGCCATGAATCCAGATTTATCAGAACCACTATGCTTCTGCTTTAAAAACAACATTTGAGGAAAAGATCAAGGATGTACAATTTGGCTGAGTACGATTTAAATAGCATCCCAGACATTTTGCCAGAAAGTGGTAGGTGAGACCAGAACAAAAACCACAATTCATTTAATTTCCTACTAACTGAATTAGACACATTCTCCTCCTAGTGTAGTAAAAATTATCATTTTAGAAACAGCTGTTGGTTATCTCTGGGAGGCACACACAAAGTGTTAATGAACCGCAAGAGACCCAGGGCTATAAAGTTGTTCATCTTTGATGCAAATGGTTTCAAGCTGTCCAAGATGCTATTTCAAATACCACATAAGCTTGTTTTCCTTTTCTCTCTTACCTTTCTTCCATGAAAGGCATTAAAGCACTTCAGTTCTCCTAGTGATGGTATTTGAGTAACTGCTATAGAAGTGTCCATGCTGAATTTTAGGTTCCTTTAAAGCAGAGCTGTCAAACTCACGGCCCGCGGGCCGGATGCGTCACGCGCTGGCCACGGCCATGCCCGATTTAGCAAAGGGGGGAAAAAGTCATGATACATCGCATGATGACACCTTGACACCAGAGGTGATACTCAGCAGGTTCTGACCAGTTCTGGAGAACCGCTAGCGGAAAATTTGAGTAGTTCGGAGAATCGGTAAACACCACCTCTGACTGGCCCCGCTCCCATCTATTCTCTGCCTCCTGAGTCCCAGCTGAGGAAATGGGGATTTTGCAGTAACCTTACCCTGGAGAGGGGAAGGAATGAAGATTTTACAGGATCCTTCCCCTGCCACTCCCACTAAGTCACGCCTACAGAACCGATAGTAAAAAAAAAATTGAATCCCACCACTGCTTACCCCTGCTTTAAAGCCTCACTACTCAGAGTACTGTGTTTTGGACTTATATTTTTGCATATTTACCAAAATATATATATTGTATTGGCTATGTGTAAATGCTATATATGCATCTAGTTGTAGCTGCTCAGGAGTGGCAAAAATGGGTCAATTTTCAGGGTGCAGTTCGGTGGTTCATTGATGTGGCAAATTTAAGGGTAGATCTTGATTTTGTTCTCCGCAGTAGATTTGGTATCATATAAAAAAGTGTATAGATTTATCAACAGAGTAATTCAAGTTGGTTGGAGAGTCTTGAAATTCCCCTCGCTTTCTTAGTTTGCAATGAATGACTGTCACTGCTAAATGAACAGAAAGCCCTCTGTTCAATGCTGGCTCTAGATGTCAGTCTTCAAGGACCCTCGTTATGAACCCTCCTCCCCTTCCATGTTACTTTTAATACCAGATCCCATTTGCCCTTAATTAGTTTCTTACTGACGTAGTGCCTGAAGAGTCTGGGGGAGGGGGAAAGATATTTACCTCTTTAGTTCTGACCAGAAAGACTCCCACGCATGCCCAACATAAAGCAGATCTTGGAAAAGACTTGCCTCAAGGGCCAAAATAGACATAATGGCCGGGAACATGTTCTGATGTTAAAAACATGGATCTTCTGCAATCACGTAGACCCAGAGGTGGTATTCAGCAGGTTCTGACCAGTTCTGGAGAACCGGTAGTGAAAATTTTGAGTAGTTTGGAGAACCGGTAAATACCATCTCTGACTGGTCCCGCCCCCATCTATTCTCTGCCTCCCGAGTCCCAGCTGATTGGGGAGTAAATGGGGATTTTACAGTGTCCTTCCCCTGCCACGCCCACCAAGCCACACCCACAGAATAGATAGTAAAAAAAATTGAATCCCACCACTGCGTAGACCAATGTGTTTTTCAAACTTGGCAACTTTTAAGTTGTGTGGACGTCAGCTTCTAGAATTCTTGGAGTCGAAGTCCATACATCTTAAACATGCCAAGTTTGAACAACACTGATCTAGACAGAGCAAAAGAGAGAAGGAAGAAAATGGCTTGGAGCATCTCTTGATTGTGAGAGGAATGTTTAAGTGTCTGTGGATGTATTGGAACTGAGGTGTTGAAGTATTGTTGTTGTTAGTTGCGAAGTCATGTCCGACCCATTGCACCACCATGGACAACATTCTTCCATGCCTTCCTGTCCTCTACCATCCTCTGGAGTCCATTTAAGCTCATGCCTAATGCTTCGGTGACTCCATCCAGCCACCTCAATCTCTGTCGTCCCCTTCTTTTGCCTTCAATCGTTCCCAGTATTAGGCTCTTCTCCAGTGAGTCCTTCCTTCTCATTAGGTGGCCAAAGTATTTGAGTTTCATCTTCAGGATCTGGCCTTCTAAAGAGCAGTCAAGATTGATCTCCTCTAGGACTGACCAGTTTGATCGCCTTGCAGTCCAAGGGGACTCGCAAAATGGGTAAGCATCATGAGAAGGGAAAGAAGACTGACTTTGGGAAAGTTCTATATTCCAGATTTAAACATGTCTTTCATTGTCATAACTTAACGCTCCACTTCATATCTTTATCTACAGTCTATATTTAAATACAAAGATCTACTTCTGTTATATCTAGTTTAGCCAGCATAATGCAGCATACCAGTAATTGATACTGGGTCAAGATACTTGAAATTGTGATTCGTCCTGCAACAGTGCTACTGATCTGAAAGTGGGGAGAGACCACGGCTGAAGAATTGTATACGGTGTAGCTTGGAGAGTCAAGATTCTTGATTGAATGCTTAGCAATTGTCCTTTCTGGGATGCGAGTGGCAGGATGGGAGCAAATCAAATTACAGCTTGCCTGGTTTATCTTAATTTATGACATAGTTGGCTCTCACTTTGCACTAATCCATAGTTTGTTTAGCCATGATTTATTGAATAAACTTGCTGAGTTCATAAGAACACCTTCCCAGCAGAATTAGCTTGAGCTATCACATGGGAGGATCCTTAGGTGTTTCCCCCCCTGGGTACTGTGGGATCGGTTAGCAGTGTAGGTCTGGCGCTCCCTTCGGTCAAGGAAAGATGATGCAAAGGTTGGAGCCTGAAAAGGCTCTTGATGTGCGAGACAGACGGCACCTCTTCAAACTGTGTAGCTTATGCAAAAGATAAAGGCCAAACAGAACACCTGGGAAATTAAGCTGATCAAGTCTGCTGTTTTTAAAGGTGCTATTTTTAACAGGGTGGTGATTAACCATTCAGAAAAGCCTCACTAAAGCATGAAGTTGGTTTCCCCTTTGTGCCACGGTTCATGACTGCTCAGGAACTTTCATGAGAAGTCTGTAGTAGTAGAGAAAAACTAACGAACACAGCCTACATGCTGCCATTATTGTAAATAAAAGGAGAAAAATCCCCTTGGCTTTTCTTACATTGAAAGCAGATATTTT